AGGTCCCTCCGCCGGAGGAGGGGGCGCCCCGCCTGGGGTCCCTGGCGGTGCGGAGACGGAGGCTTCACTACAGACGCGGCCGACGCTTCCTGCCTCTCCAGCCGCAGGCCTGAACGTCCCCGGGCGCGGGCTCCAGTGGGGGTTTCGGGCCACCCCCTTCCACTGCGGAGGCCTTTGTTTTGTTCTAAGCTTCCCTGTGCGTTATGAGGAAACTGAGGCAGGGAAGTGAAGTTTTGTCTGCCCGGACCGTGGACTCTCCCCTGGAATTGGTGGGCGCCCTCCTCTCTGCATTTCCCATGCCAGAGAGAGCCAGGGCGGCAGTAGGTTTGAGGACCCCCTACCCACAGGCCGCCCCACTGCTCCCCGGCCCTGGGTGGCCAATAGGCCGTCCCGTCCCTGCTGCCCAGGATTGTGTGTCCTCCCGGGTACAGGGCGGGCCCTTTTCCCCAGGAGTCTGAGCTGAAAGGTCAGCCAAGGCAGGGTCCTTGCTGCACCTGCTGGCGCCAATGTTTCGGTTACGCCCAGAGGGGAACGAAGACTATGATTTCTTTGGGATGATTTGTAAGCTTTTGGAAGTGCTCAGAATTAGACGTTAGAGGGGGCGTGGGGAAAGGCACCACGAAGAGGATTGGTGGTCGGGCCAGGCCCAGTGAGGCAAGGGACTCACTTAAGGGGGTCTCAGCTTGACCCAGGCAGGTGTCTGATGGCGGGGCTGGCCTACCCTAGAACCCTGCCGGGTGAGCCGGTGGCCCTGCCTATGGAGGGGGACGCTGGGCCCAGAAGGCAAAGCCGCTGCCCAGCTCACCTGAGGACTGCAGTCTGTGGCCACCCATGTCCCCAGGCCTAGCTGGGTCCCCAACTCCCCAGACTTTTCCTGGGCGCCGGGCAAGGCTGCTGTCTGTCGGGTGTGTGCCGCACTATGGGAGAAGCCCGTGCTGGGCCTCCGCAAAACCCATCCACGCTGGGGGCCACTCCTGCGGTGGGCACCATCATGGCCTGCTCAGCCACCAGGTGGGGTGTCTGTGATGCGAGGATGACTCCCACTTGGGGGCCCCAAAATGTCACACAGGATATAGGGAAGATGGCAAGTCCTAAGGTCTCCACGTCCTGTGTCCACCAGCTCCGCGACTCCACTCAGGCGGCGGGGGGGAGGGGGGGCACCTGCCCGGCCTCCAATCCAGCCGCCTGGCCCTCCTTTGTCTGGTGGCTTGGAGGGGCGGCCACTTCTGGGGACAGATGGGGAGGGAGCAGACACCCGCTGACCTTCGTCCCCGCCCCCCTTCCTCCCTGCGCACCTTGCAGTCCGCCGGGCGCCGGGTGCTCGGCCCCGGGGTCGCGGAGGTTAGTGGGGCGGGGCCCGGGAGTCCCGAACTCCCCCCGCGAGCCGCCGCGCCGCGCTGCGGGGGAGGGGCGGGCGCTACTTCCTCTTCCGCGGTGTGTCACCGGCGGGGGGGGGACGGCAAGGTGCGGCCGCAGGTGTGCGGCGGGGGGTGGCGGCGCGCGCGGCGCGGTGCGGCCATATTTGGCGATTTGGGCGCCGCGGGAGCCCCGCCCGCCGCCCGGGAAGCCGCGGCCCGGGCAGCCCCGTCCCCGCCCGCCGCCGGCCCTGAGTCACCGGCCGGGCGGGGGTGGAAGTAACGGACGGGGGGCGCCGGGCGCGCTCCTCGCCTTATTTAGTCAAGGAGGCCGCCGATTGGCCGGCGGGACAAAGGGGCGGTGGCGGGCGGCAGGCGCGGGAGCGGAGGGGGCGTCGCCGTCCCCCGCCCCCACCCCCGGCTCCCCACGACCCCGCGGCTCTGCGGCAGGCGCGGCCGCGACAGTGGGGGTGGGGCTGCGTGTGGCCCCCCGCCCCCACCGCGGTCCGGTGGCCGCCGGGCGCGGGTGTGATGCCGGGCTCGATGCCCGGCCGGGGAGCAGGGGAGTGACCGCCCTTCTGGGAAGCAGCACCGGAAGCCTGGGACGCGTGGACGCGGTGGGGCCCGGCTCCAGGTAGAACTGGGCCCGCGGGCCGGCCGCAGGGGGAGGGGGAGCACCGCCTTCTGCGCTGTGATTTTTCTGTTTTGCAACTGGGCAGTACGAGGCCTCGCCCAAGGTCACCTCGGGGCTGTGCTCTGGGAAGCTCAGGGCCGCCCCCACCCCTCCGGCGTCCCTGGGGAGGGGACGTTGGGGCTGAGGCAACCCCTGGCTCTGGCGAGTGGGAAGCTCTGGGCAGGAGGGAGAGAGTCTGCACTTGCCGTCCTGCCCAGGAGCGGGTGCGTCCTTTCCATCTTGGGGACAGAAACTTGAGCCTCGGAGAAACGACGTGATTTTTTTTCTAGCACATTGCTAGCTTTGGGGGATTTGTGACTTTGCTGCCTCTCATTTGCTCTCCCACACCTGCAATGGCTGAGAAAGTAGTGGGGCAGGGAGGTGAGGTCACCTTGCCAGTCAGTAACTGTGGTGGGACTTAGCGCTCCGGTCCTTAGTGCTGTCTGGCAACCCCACAGCAGCCTGTCCTCTCCCTGCTCCCCAGGACCTCTGCACCTGGGAGCAAGGCCGCCACCCCACACACACCCACTCTCCCTCAGCCCCCGCCTTGCCTCCCACCTCCAGCCACCTCCCAACTAGTCATCCCTTGTTAGGCAGACAGGCTAGGTCGTGGACCACCGCTCCTAGCCTCTGCCGCTGCCGTTCCACCCGCCTAGGATGCCTGTCCTCCACCCAAACGCAGTGTGGGATCCTGGGTTGGATCCCGGAACAGAGGAACCAGGGAAGCCCGGGGAAAGTGTGGAGTTTAATATCAGGTGCCAGAGTTGGTCTCAGTGACAGATGAGCCAGCCGGCTAAGTTGGAGGGAACTGAGTTACACTAGGGAAACAGTGTGGAACACGCAGCAAAGCTCAGACAGTCTGCGCCACTTTTCTGTAAATCTAAAGTTGTCTCAATAAAAACTTCACTTTAGAAAACCCAAGGAAAACCAGTTTCTCTGTCTTGGGTCTCTGTCTTATTCTCCCAGGGCTGTGGACAGATCACGTGCACAGCGATGCTTCCGCCGCCCAAAGCCTGCGGAGAGGCCAGGGGGGCAGGCTTGAGCCGCCTTGGTCCGGAGGGCTGTCCTGGTAGGCAAGGCGGGTTCCTGCTGGCTTGGCATGCTTACCTCTGAGTTCCAAGTCAAAGGGCAAGGTCAGAGCCACATGCTTCAGTGTCTGGACTAGCACCCAGCGGGCCTTGCTCCCCTGCCAGTGCTGGGCACACTGAGGCATAGCTAGAAGGGAAGCTGCGTGGTGGCTGGCGATGGGGTCACATGCACCATGGTGCACGGGACCTGGTGCCCACATCTCATGGCCGCCACTCCGTCCTGCGCCAGGAAGCCCTGGGCCAGGCCTCCATGCACCATCCACTTCTTGCCATCTGGGGAGGTACCCCAAATGTATGTCGTGCTACAGGTAGGGAAGCAGGCTCGCGGTGTGGGGAGTTGGGGGTACAGAGACATCCAGGCTAGGAGTCCCACACCACCCCTGTTCCCGCAGAGGGTTCCAGGCTTTTCAAAGACAGGCCCTGGGGGAGTTTTATCTTCCCCTCCTGGTGTAGCAGGAACCACGGAGGGTCCTGGAAGAGCAGGGGGTTGAGTCAGGACCTGGGTTCTGGGCCAGGCTCAGTCCTGTGCCAGCTGGGGCCTCCCCATGCCTCAGTTTCCCTGAAAAGGTGGTCTGGTGATGTGAAGGTAGAGTGGCCCATCAGAGGCTCTGAGGCTGGCGGTCCTTCTGCACTGGACAACGGGGCTAGGGAAAGAAGGCCACGGGGCAGCCTGGTGAATCTCCCCGCCACACCGCCCCCCAGGCCCTCTCTCTGTCTTCCCCGCGTCTGACTTTGACGTCCCAGTATGTTCAATTTTTGGCTAAGAGGCACTCGCTCTACACCTCTGGTGTCAGACCCAAGATTCCTGGGAGCCATGGCCCTTGACGGAGCAGCTGGCTCCTTGCTTTGCTTCTGAGGGCGCATGTCCAGGCCTCACTTCCCTGGGCCTCAGTAGGCAGAGAGATGCGCTCCCTGTACCACGGGTGGGGTGTGGGCCCTGATTCTGGGCCGACCCGCAGCGCTCAGACTCCCTTCTCCCCACCTTTGCTGCACAGGCCGCCAAGAGTAATGATGTCGCCAATGGGGCGTGCCCCTGCCATAGCCGCCTCCCCCAGAGGTCACCACTCTCCTCTGGGCAGAGTTCTTATTCTCCTGTGAGAGGCACCCACAGTCTGCCACCGGGAAGCAAGGATGAAACCAAGCAACAGCCCGCCTGCCCCACTGTCTGTCCCGCCGGCTGTCTGCTGCCTGCTGCCCCGCAGTGAACGTTGCCGTCAGGTCCCTCTGCTCTGGGTGCGGGAGGCTGGACCACACCCCTCACCCCCATCGCCCGCTCACTGCTCTCCAGCTCCAAAGGAGCGCCAGGCCCTTCCTCCGCCAGGAAAGCTCCTCCGGTTGGTTGCCTCTTCCCTGCAGGCCTCCAGGCGCTGCGCTGGCCTCAGGTCCCTTCCCCCCTCCTCCTACTCACTGTCCTCACCCTCTGCTCCAGAGTGTGGGCTCCCAGGGCACAGGGGGGAAGCCGGTGTCCCCTCTGCAGAGAGCATGAAGGGAGGGAGGCAGAAGGAATGGAGAGGGAGGGGCTCGCAGCCCTGGTGGGATCTTCCCTGAGGGGCTGGCCCGCTGGCCCCTACCCTGACCCCAGTGTGCAGAAAGGGGGCCGTGTCTCTTGGGCTGAGAAGGAAGGGAGCCGCGAGGTCTGGCCGCCCCCTGAGGCGCTGTCCTCGCATGCCCCCTCCCCCCGGCGCTGGTGGCTCTCGGGGCCGCAGGGGACAGTGCTGAGGTGCCGGGGCAGGGCACAGAGAAGGTTCAGGCTAACCCTGTACCTCGCGCTCTGGCCCCGATTTGCGGAGCGCGCCCTGCCGGCCGAGCTCTCCCGACGTAGACGAGGTCGGGGCCCCGCGGCCGGTGTCCCCACCCCCAGGACGCCTGGCGCCACTCCGAGGACTAGAAGGCGGACCAGGGCGGGAACACCGGCGGGAGGACGCTGCTCTGGGCGCTCCGTCGTCCCCGCCGCTGTCCCAGGGGCTGGCGGAGTGGGAGGATGTAGGGCCAGGCTGGGGTCGCGCCGGGGCTCCGGACCTGCCTCCCCGCCCTTCGCAGCGGCCTCCTTCTCCCGCCGCCGCTTCCCGGGAAAGGCTTGCGGCGTGCGGGGGGCGGGCCCGGCGAGGGGCGGGGCGGACTAGGCCCCGCCCACCCCCGGGCGGGGTGCGTGGCCCGCGGGGGGGGCGGTGGCGGGGCGCCTGGGAGACCGGTGGGCGGGCCCGGGGCGCTCGCTCGCTCGCTGACCGCGCCCGCGGCCACGGGTCCCCGCTTGGTCAGGGGGCGGTGCCCGGGCCGCCCAGTACTCGCGCCCCCCTCCGCCTCCGGGCGCCGGGTCCCGGCTCTCGCTTTCCCCGCGCCCTCGGAGGTCAGCGCCAGTGACCCCGGACGGGAAACCGGCGAGCTTGGAGGCCCAAGCCAGGAGCCGGCGCCGCGCTCGGCGGCCCGCCGGGTGCTGTCCCCGGGTGCGCCGCCAGGTGGGTCCCGCCAGCGGGGCTGGGCCAGGAGTCCGCGCGGCACCTGTCTGCGCCGGGAGCGGCCCGCACAGCCGCGGACCGGGCCGGGGAGGCGCCTGGCACTGCTGGCCAGTCCCCGAGTCACTGTCGCCAGAGAGCGATGGGAGTGGCCGGTGACCTCAGCCGGTGCTGACGCAGGGAGAGAAGGTGGGATCCGGGTCGGCGGGCACTGGCGCACCGGGGCACCGGGGCACCAGGGAGAGGGGAGGGCCAAGGCCCTGACTCAGCCAGAGGGGGTCGGCCCACCTTGATGTCCAGCGGCAGACAGCACCCACGGAGGGACCCCAGAGCCGGGGCAGACCTGGACCTGCGGTTTATCTGTTGGACACACAGTGCTGGTGCCCAGGGGACAGGGCAGTGGGCGTCCCAGCTGCCATGCCCTGTCTCCTTCCTGGGCACACTCAGTTATTTCCATAGCTAGATCCCCCCCACCAGGCAAATGGCCACTGATCACCAATTCAGAGAGAAGGAAGGGGCTCCAGGTCACACCGAAGGAAAGGGGGAGCCAGGATTGGAGCCTGGGACTCTAAAACCAGCTGGTTGCTCACCCGGCGAGCTAGGGGAGGCCGGTGGGGTGGGGGACACAGGGGGTGACTTATCCCCCTTCTCCAGGGGAAGTCCAGGGCTGTGAGTTGCAGGGCTAGCCCCAGGAAGGGGGGAGGGGAGCCGGACTACCGTAGCCACAGAATGTCCTGGGGCGGGAGGGCAGAGGTGGGGAAGGCGGGGAGGGGGTCCCCAGATGGCCAGGCTGGGCTCACGTCCTTCCAGGGAAGGACAGACGATGCTCTTGGGTGTCGCTGTGGTACCTCTGCCTCCCTGGGTGACAGGTGGGTTGGCCCCAGCACGTGTGTCCACAGGGGCCTGTGAGAGTGAGTCTTTGCTGGGAGCCCCCCTGCCCCCCGGAGCAGCCCTTACCCACCGGTAAGCATCCAGAGCGAACGTGCTGCGCAGCTGTGCTGGGCACCTTCCCCAGCCCTTCCCGCAGACCCCCCCGACGCTGGGAGGGACTGAGTTTGGTGGGCGGCCCAGCTGGAGAGGGGCAGGCAGGGAGCTATAAGTATGGTTTTGGGTGTGCGTAGCTGCACACCTGAATTCTACCCTACCTGGGAGGGTGGTTTGGGGAGGGAGGGAATTCCATGCGGAAAATGTGCCCTTGGGGGCGCCTGGTGGCTCAATCATGAAGTGTCTGCCCAGGATCCTGGGATCTAGTCCCGCATCAGGCTCCCTGCTTGGCGGGAGCCTGCTTCTCCCTCTCCCTCTGCTGCTCCCCCTGCTTGTGCTTCCTGTCTCTCTGTCTCTATATCTGTGTCAAATAAATAACTAAATAAGAAAATGTCCCCTTGGATGTTGAAGGCCTGATTGCCTGTCTCTTGCTTAGACGGCTCTTTCGGGGAAGTGGGTGTCGTTTGAGTTCTGGTCCAATATCCGGGTTGTTTCGTGTTTCTCCGTGAGGTTTTAGGCTTTTCTCTTCATTTCCACTGCCGTGATATCTTGATGCTTCCGGCTGTGCTCTTGCTGGAGTCCCCTTCTTGTCCCGATGATGTCCAGCCCTGGCGCACAGCGGCTTTCAGCTCTCGGGAAATTTCTTACATTCTTTCTTTCACAGTTTCTTTCCTTTTTTTTTTTTTTTTGCCAGTTTATTTTTTCCCTTTGGGACCTCTGATAACGGGGTGCCGTATCTCTCCCACAAGGCCTTTAATACCGTTACTGTTCCTTTGACCTGTTTTCCCCCCAGCTTTTTGGGATATTTCTTTGACTTCTTCTGACCTTGCAACGGAATTTTTTTATCCCAGTTACTATAGTTTCTAATTCTTTTGTTTTGAGATAATTCCAAACTTACTTTCTAACGTTTACCACAATTGCCTTATTGTTCTTTTTATCTGTCTTTTCACTTCTGAACCGTTTGGGAGTTGGTCTCAGACATTCCGCCTCTACGCCTCCGTATCTCAGTGCGTTTTCCCCGAGAACAGGGGCATTGCCCTGCGGAACCCCTGCGGCCCGTGTGCGGCGACGGAACAGGTCGCCGCTGGTCTTGTCTGCGGGCTGTGTGTTCACGACAGTGGTCGTCCTGACGTGGTCCGGGGCCACCTGTGTCATCCAGGCGTCACGAGCCCTCCCGTGCTACACCCCCCAGGCTGCTCTCTCACGCGCCCACGGCTCAGAGCGGCACCGGGGCGCACGGATTCTCCCGGAAGGGACTGGCCCAGAGACCGTGCGCTGGTACTCGGCCCTGTCCCCCTGGGACACGGAAATGCTGCCTTCCTGTTTGTCCCAGAGGTCCCTGTCCGCTCTGTAGCAAGTTCCGGGCACACAGTAGGCACTTACTGCGGTGCAAGCGTGTCTGCCGCGCGCCCGCGTGGACACGGTTGCACGTGAAGGCTGGGCTGCGCAGAGGCGGCCCCGGTCACGTGCAGAGCTGGGGCTCCCGACTGTGTGCCGGCGCGTCTCAAAGCCCAGCTGCACGGTGAAAGTCACCCAGTTTCCCGGAGCTGTTCTGGTCCTGCTGCGGAGCCCTGTGCAGGCTGGGACTTACTCTCAGATACTCTCGAGATCCTCCCCTCTTGTTCCAGGAATGCGCAAAAGTCCTGGGGTTTGGGTGTCAGACGACCGCAGCAGTCACATCTGGGCAGGCTGAGATGCCCTGTGCTGCCCTTGTGGTCCCTTCAGGGACTCACTGTTAGCCTTGCTGGGGCTCTGGGACCCCGGGCAGTGTCCGAAGGCCTTCGTCCCTCTCTCTCCGCCTCCCCTCCCCTCTGGAAATAAGCACCCCTCCCCAAGACTTCATGATTTTGCAAGGGACAAGAGCGAGGAGACTTTACCAGCTTTCTATGCAGGCAGCACCGGGGCGGGGGTGCCTACCCTCCCAGCCAGCAGCTCTCCCTTCAAGGAGGAGGGCCACACAGGAGAGCAGCCCACGAAAACCGCATTTCAGCGAGCTGCCCTGCCTTCAGGAGGGGTCTTGTGGGGTCGGGATGGTGGGGGAGGGAAGCGGGTAGATTTTCACGTGGGACAGGCAGGCGGCTGGGCACTGCCCGGCAGTGTGAGATGCGGGAGCCGCCTCCCCACACTTCATTCCAACATTGCCCTCTCCTCCCTACCCCACAGAAGGGAGCGTGTCACCCTAAACCGCCCACAAGCCTCCAGTAAGCCAACCAGGCCCCGCCTGCCCATGTAAGTGGAACTTCAGAGTGGCCGAGCTCTGCCATGAAAAAATCATGAGGCTTCCCAGCCCCGGGCCTGTTTTCAGGAACAATGCAGCAGGCTGGGCCCTGGGCGCTGGCCAAGCTGGACCCCAGGAGCAGAAGCGGGGCCTGGGAACAGGGAAATCACGGCCTTTGGTCTGGGCCCAGCAGGAAAGCCCTGGCCTCACCCCAGGGAGGGGCAGAGGAGCCCTGGGGGCAGAGGCCCAGAAGGGCGCTGGCCAGAGTGGTTTGGCCATGGGACGGCACAGTGCCTGGGACCCGGTGGGACAGGAAGGCGGGTGAGAGCCGCAGCGCCCCAGCGGCTGGGGGGGGGGCCCAGGAAGGTGGGGGTGGAGCACTGGGGATTTCCTCTGTGTGAATTCCCAGAGACTCACTGGCCGGTGGGGAAGGAAGGGCACAGCTGGCATTGCCCACACGGGGCGCCAGGACAGGTGCGGCCTGGGGACATCCCTCCGTCCTCAGCCATTTCCCAGTTTCCAGGGCTCCAGGCCAGCCCAAGTGGGGAACCACCCCCTCCCCAGCCAGCACCCACACGGGGCCCGTGCCAGCTCACGCCACCAGCGTGTTCCCCGGGCGTCCGGCCTGGCACACGTGCCCATCACCATAGCAGCACACGGCGTGTTGGGTGGGAGCCCGGGCTGGGCGGTGGCAGCCAAGGCTGGCGGCCTAGATCTACGGGACCAGGACTCCTTTCCCTTGCCGCAGCCCCCTCTGGGGCCTGCCCATCCCCCAGCGTGCCAGGGAAGGAGCGGTTCCCTGAGAAATCCCGGGTAGGAGCCAGGGGCTGGGGGCCTCAGCTGGACCTCACTGGGGGGGCAGGAGGCCAGGGACCTGGCCCACCCTTGCACGTTGGGAGCATCAGAGAGCCGGAGGGATCTCTGCCTTCTAGGTCCTGCTCCAGACAGCAAGGTCAGTCTGGCTGTGTCCATCTGGACCTGGCCACTCCCTGACGTGGGGGTGCAGGGGAGCCACTCACCCAGGCGGCCTCTCTGTGCCTGGGAGAGCAAGTCATGCATGTTGAAGTGGACACGTCAGGCACCCTGACCCCTGTCCTCAGGCCCTGTCCAGGGGTGGCAGACGAAAGCCCAAGGCAATGCACACTCACCGGACATGCACCCCATCCCCCAGGAGGGCAGGTTCAGAGGTGACCTCGGATGCCTCCGAGGGGACTCTGGACAGGCCGCAGGCATTGTGTGCCCAATGTGGGTGGCTGTGTGGACCCCTCTGGCAGGGGCACGTGTGTCCTTGAGGACACGGCCGAGGACACAGCAACCACAGGCTCTTACAGGTAGTCCCTGACCTGGATTCCCTTGTGCTGTGCACAACATGATCTCCCTGCTGGGCAGCGGTGGATGGACTCTAAGGCTGGGATCCAGGGAAGCATCTCCAGGGCCAGGGCTGGCCCAGCCACTGACCGTGGCTCCCTCTGTCCCACACCGTCTGTGTGCACCTTTGCACGCACGCCCCCCGGCATGCACACTGCCTCACCTCCCTGCAGAGGCTCATCGCATCACACCGAACATTCCCAGTACCCACTGTGCGCTGGAGCCTTATAGGGGATCGAGAGAGGAACCGTGACCCCTAGCAGGCATCTGGACTTGGGGCCTGGGTCCTGGAGGGTTGTGGAGGGCCATCCATGCAAACCACCTCCCTGAAGCCTGGGCTAGGAGGCCCACCTCTAAGCGTCCCCCTTGGGGTCTGAGGTCCCCCGTTAGCTCACACCGTGAGTCAGTGCCAGGCAGCCCCACGCCATGCCCACCTGGGGTGCAGGGCCCCAGGGACCGAGAGGCCACAGCCACTTCTGGCTCTGCCACCAAGCGGCTGCCTGGAGCCCACTTAGCGCCTGGCAGCTGGGCTTCCTCCCACTGGGCACGTGACGTCCATGAGCGCCCTGCCAGCGCCAGGCAGCGTCAATGAGGCCTTCGTGCCGATCGGGCACTCCGGGCTCCTTTGGAACCTACTGCAAGCTCGGGGGACCATGGGCACAGCTGCCCCCAGGCCCCCTGAGCCCTGACGAACTGACCAATACCATTGAACACCTGCTCTGTGGGTGTCCCTATAAGCCTGGGGGTGGCACAGAGGGAGACGCAGCGAGAAACAGGTGTGGACAGCCTCATGGCGTGCACCCTGAGACCAGGGACATCTGCCTGGCATCGAGGCAAGGCCTGGGCCCTGGGCACGCTCCATGGGGAGGGGGTGCTCCCTGGACCGTCTCTCCCCACCGGCGAGCACCTGGCACACAGCACAGCCAGGCCCACGGTTGGTGCCCCATCAGCGAGTGGGGGTCGCAGAGGTGGACAGTGCTAGACCAGCCCCCAGACCATCTCGCAGCACGCACAGCACTGCTGGGGGCACGGGGGCCCAGGCGTGTCTCCCAGCATCCCACCCTGGTCCTCGGTGCCGCCAGGCACTGAAGCTGCTGCCCGGGCTTGAGAGGATGCAGGAAGGACGCCCGAGCCCGTCTGGCCTGCCCACCCCCCGGCCCCCACCCTCGGCTGGACCCTCACAGCACTGGGCCCCATCATGGCCCCCAGAGGGTCAGAGCAGTGAGCCTGTGGCATCAAGGCCCCACGAGGCTGTGGCTGGAAATGCCTGCGGCCCCAAGCCCGTTCTCCCAGGTAGGCCTGAGGGTCACACGCTGCGGTGAGGAAGAGGACACCGAGGCTGGCCCGGGCCCAGGTCGGGCAGCTCCAGTTTCATTACTTGGCCCCCGCCCCTGAGGCAGGTGCCGGAGACACACGGGCAGGGCGCGGCTGGGCTGGCCCCTGCGGGTCCCGTGCATGTGGCCCCTGGGCTCAGGGAGGAGGGAGCACAGCCAGGTGGTCCCGGTGGCTGCAGCTGGAGGCGCTGGGTCGGTGGGAGTGGGATGGGCTGGGGGCAGCTTCTAGCCTCTCCTAGCCTGCTGGCCACACCGCTCTGCTGAGAGGGCTTTGTCCCCCACACGCACCTGGGACCAGGCCCCATAAAGATGCCGCAAGTCAGCGAGTCACCCCGGCCACAGGAGAAACAGTTAGGGGTCCCCAGGCCCCCGCAGCAAGGCTGGCTTCACCACAGCTCACGCAGGGAAAGGGGAGCAGCCTTGTGGGCTCCTTGAGGTGCTTAAGGCACAGGGGCCAGCCGAGGCCTGGTCCTCTGACCCTGGGTCTGACTGCCCGCCGGCTTCAGGACGGCCCCTGCTCCATGCTCACACTCCGCGGACCGGGGCCCCCTCCCGGCCCCGCACAGCCAGGCCGCCTGGCCCGACGTGAGCGAGCGTGACCCTGGCTGGGGCCTGGATGCCAGGATGGGGGCACCAGGGCACACGGGGCCACTCCTTGGCCCCACGTCCCCTGGTGCCACCTTCCCCACCCTGGCCACCCTGGGGCAGGTGCAGGTCCTGGGCTGCCGGCTGTAGCCCGGGGATGGCTGAGGGGGATGGCGCGGGATTCCAGCTCCAGGCTGCCGGAGTTGGGGGGCCTTGCTGGGCTCCTGGCACCAGGAATCAGAGAAGCAGTAACTGGATCTGGCAGGGGATCTGGCGGCCGCTGGGGCGGAGGGCTGCGATCGGGTTGCGGCCTCGCTGAGTTTTCCACCAGCAGCTTTCTCGACGTCGGGAAGGAGCTGGGCTGGTGAGTCCGTGCACTGGGTCTGGGGGCCCTGGCGTGGGGCACGATGAGGAGAGAGCCTGAGCGGCGCAGGGGCCGGGAGGCGGGGCACAGGGCCGGGCAGCCCCAGTGAGGACAGGGAGGTGGTCAGCCCTCGGCGGGCGGAGCTCTCCACCCCTGCCGGCCCTGGGGCTCCGGCCGCTGGAGCAGTCCGCGAGTGGCTGAAATCCAAGCTGGGGTAACAAAAGGCAGCCGCCGTCCCTAAGCCGTCACAGCTCTGATCCGTCCCCCGCCCGCCCTCTGCCACCCGCGGGCCCGCAGCCACTGGCCAGAGGGCGGCGGGTCCATGCCGCCGGCCAGGCCACGGGGGGACCTCGGGGGCCGTGAGCACGCGGAGAGCGCCTCGCAGGCCCCTCGCGGGGCGCTGGGCTGGCCCTCAAGATGCCCACCAACGGCCTGCACCAGGAGCTGAAGGTCCAGTTTGGCCTTGTCAACGACACCGGCCGCTACCTGACGGCCGAGAACTTCGGCTTCAAGGTCAATGCCTCGGCCCCCAGCCTCAAGAGGAAGCAGACGTGGGTGCTAGAGCCCGACCCGGGGCAGGGCTGCGCCGTGCTCTTCCGCAGCAGCCACCTGGGCCGCTACCTGTCCGCCGAGGAGGACGGGCGCGTGGCCTGTGAGGCCGAGCGGCCGGGCCGCGACTGCCGCTTCCTGGTGCTTCCGCAGCCCGATGGGCGCTGGGCGCTGCGGTCGGAGCCGCACGGCCGCTTCTTTGGCGGCACCGAGGACCAGCTGTCCTGCTTCGCCACAGCCGTCTCCGCGGCCGAGCTCTGGACCGTGCACCTGGCCATCCACCCGCAGGCGCACCTGCTGAGTGTCAGCCGCCGGCGCTACGTGCACCTGTGCGCGCAGGAGGACCAGATGGCGGCCGACAGCGACCGGCCCTGGGGCGTGGACGCGCTCATCACGCTCACCTTCCGGAGCCGGCAGTACTGCCTGCGGTCCTGCGACAGCCGCTACCTGCGCAGCGACGGCCGCCTGGTGTGGGAGCCCGAGCCGCAGGCCCGCTACACGCTTGAGTTCAAGGCCGGCAAGCTGGCCTTCAAGGACGCCGACGGCCACTACCTGGCGCCCGTGGGGCCGGCCGGCACACTCAGGGCAGGCCGCAACACGCGGCCGGGCAAGGACGAGCTCTTCGACCTGGAGGAGAGTCACCCGCAGGTGGTGCTGGTGGCCGCCAACCACCGCTACGTGTCTGTGCGGCAAGGTAACGTGGGCGCGGCGGCCGGCCACGCGGACCGGGCTGGGCAGTGGCATCATGTCCGCACGGGTGGTGGCCAGCGGGGGGCAGCACAAGGGGCAGGGCGGGGGGGGCGGCTGGGGCACGCGTGGGGGTAGCGGCCGAGGACCGCTGGCTTTAGCGTCAGGAGGACGGGATCCTTCTCAGGACCCCTGAGCCCAGGCCGTGCTGGACACAGGACACCGGAGCCCCGGACCACTGCTGCAGGGGGGCGGAAGGCAGGTCTGGCCCGTGCTGGGCTGGCCCTCCACCCCCTACCCTCCCCTTCTCTTCTGCTTCATTTTCTGAACTTCACAAGAAGTTGGGGAGGGGCCGCACACAGGCTAAGGAGCCAGCAGGAGTGCAGTGGGCAGGGCCCTGGTGCCCACACCACCCGTGCCTGACCAGTGGGGATCCTCACCCAACCCGGGGGTGGAGTGTGGAAGGACCTCGGAGTCCCTCCGGTCTGGTGGCCTCCCCCGGGGCCCGGGCTTCCTGGTGGCAGGCGCGGTCTCTGGCTGGCTGCTCGTCTGTCCTGGCTCATTGGCTCCCTGCCTCGCGTGGCCAGCGGGCCTTTCTGCACACCATCACGTGCCTGTGAGCACGGGCAATTCCTACTTCCCCGAGAGGAAACCGGGCCCAGGCCAGCAGTTCGCAGCTGTTCCCTGCGTGGGCCCCTGGGTCTGTGCCCCCAGGAGCGGCCAGGCATGCCCGTACCAGCCCCATTGCCACCTGCTAGTCCTGTTGGCCAAGGCCCAGCCACGAGCACTCAGGAGGGCCCCCCTGCCTGGAGCCAGGGTTCCCAAGGCCAGTCCTGTGCCGCCAAGGGCAGTCCACAAACACCTCCCCGACGCCTGTCTGGAACGTGGCCAGGTCCCAGGGCACGACGGACTGTCCGCCCTGTCCTTCCCGGCACAGGCCCTGCGGTCTGGCCACGCCGTTCTCTGGCCTGTGGGAGTTGCTGGTTTATCAACCATGTGAACCGCGTCCTCTGTCGGCCGGGGAGGTGCGCACGGGAGCGCTTGGACGGGCTTGGGCTGCGGTGCTGCAGGCGGTGGAGGGACAGAGAGCGCGGGCAGTGATGGCGAGGGACGGCGCATATGGGCTCTGCTCCCCTCTGGAGTCGATGAGGAAGCAGGACGTGCATGTCCGTCCCGGGGGAGGCGGCAGCTACAGCTGCGGGTTCTGCTGCGGGTGGTGCCTGGATCCCAACAATTCTGCTGGTCAGGCGGCCCCCGAACCTGTCTTCTTCCCACAGGGGGTCTGGGAGTACCCTGCTGGCCTGTTTTCTCCACCCAGTATCTTTTTTTTTTCTTTTAAGATTTTATTTATTTATTTGACAGACAGAGATCACAAGTAGGCAGAGAGGCAGGCAGAGAGAGAGAGAGGAGGAAGCAGGCTCCCCGCTGAGCAGAGAGCCCGATGTGGGGCTGGATCCCAGGACTCTGGGATCATTTACTGAGCCGAAGGCAGAGGCCTCAACCCACTGAGCCACCCAGACACCCCTCCAGTGTCTTTTTGGGCTGCCCCCATCGGCCGGAGTCAGCTGTTTCTGCGGCCCCCACTGCCAGCCTTCAGTGGGACAGTGGAGCTCAGAAAACAGACCCATGTGGCTCAGGCCATGAGGACATCATCTCCTATAAATGGAAGTCCGGAGGCACGGGGTGGTGGGGACCCAGGCAGGACACCATCACCGGCTCCATGGAGTTCTCAGAACCCTTCGCTCTCTCCTCCTTGTGGAGCTGCTCTCGGGGGACAGCTCTGACCTCGAGCTGGTGGCCTTGTGGTCACGAGACGGCTGCTGCTATTCCAGCAGACAGCTGTGGGAGTCAGAAACCCCTCGGCCGGACTGTCTGGGGCGATGCTGGGGATGCCAGTGGGGTCGGCCTCCGAGGGGCCACGGTGTGGCCTGACTCAGGAGCCCTGGCCTCCTTCTGCCCTCAGCACCTGCAGGGACGGGTCTCCCGCCCTCCTCAGTCTGCTTCAGTGTCACCTTCTCCAGGAGCCATCCCAGCCAAGGCCCACAGCACGCACAGGCCTCGGACAAACTGTCTGTTGTCTGTGTCGTTACTGCCGGTCACATGCCTGGAGCCCCAGATGCCCACTCAGCTCAGTACTGCTGATGGGACGGCGGGGGCGGCGGGGACCCACGTGAGAAGGGAGACAGAGATCTAACTGGGTGGCTTTAGAGGGAGCAACCTTGGGAGCTGAAGGACAGCAGGTCCCACCCTCTCCAGCACACACGTGCCTGGTGCCCGTTCTACCTTCCTGGGGACAGGGCTGGACAGGATCTGGTCCTGACCCTCAGGGCCCCATTTCCTCCTGCTTCACCAGCTGGACACACTGGAGCCTGGCCTCATTGGGGAGCTCTGTGATCTGTCACATCCCTAGAAATGGGCATGGTTTATGGGAAGATACTAGGGAGACTCTAGAGCCTGCCCTTTGCCCCCCACCCTGGCCATGGTTATCCCCAGTTCCATCCTTGCAGGAATCCCAGGCAGCGCCCCAGAGAGCCTTGCCCTCCCTCAGGGTTCCTAGGAGACCACACACGTAAAAAGGTGGGCTGGGGGGTGGCAGTGGGCCAGGTTCTCCTCTGTGCCCAGGAATGGACCCTAGGCCCCAGCTGGGGTCTTCCCCAACTTGGGCCCTGGCTTGGGGAAGAAGAGGGACCTCATTGTGCCTATCCAGGGGCTTAGGGGTGAGTTATAAATAGAGGCTGGTGTAAGCCCTGGGTCGAGAGGGCAGCAGCAAGTAGATTACCTAATGATTAGCAGAGGCAGGGGATTTGCTGGCACAGAAGGGTCTGGCTCCTGGGGCTGCAGTAGGAGCTTGGCCAAGGACCTTCAGGGAACTGGACACAGCAGTCCGCAGTGTGCCCACATGGCTATGGCGACACCACCTCTTACTCTCCGAAAAGCGCCTTCCAAATCTTAATTCCAAAGGGTTCTAGATGAGACCCCCTCTGCCTTCAGGGTTGCCCCAAGACCATGCTTTTCCCCATCTTTCTGCTCCCCACCCCCCACCCAGGGAGAGGCGTGAGGGGCTTCCCATATCCTCCCTGCAGGGGTCAACGTCTCAGCCAACCAGGACGAGGAGCTGCATCATGAGACCTTCCTGATGCAAATTGACCAGGAGACGAAGAAGTGCACCTTCTATTCCAGCACGGGGGGCTACTGGACCCTTGTCACCCACGGGGGCATCCACGCCACAGCCACACAGGTGTGAGTGCCCCATCCCCATCTCCACCACCATGACCATGACCATGATCACCACCACCACCACCTCCACCACGAGGACCACTGAGGCGGCCCAGCCGAGAAAATACTCACTGGGCAAGGGGCAGCTCTTAACAGTGGTGGGTGTGTCCGTGGAAGGCAAGCGCCTGTCTCTCCCCCTGGGGGTTGGTACTGGACCTGAGGGGGATGGGAAAGCCTGACCCTGAGCTCCTGTCTTGCTGCTCTGAGGGGACTTTACCCTGACCTTCCCAGTTCTGCAAACACCATGTTTGAGGTGGAGTGGCGTGGCCGGCGGGTGGCCCTCAAGGCCAGTAATGGCCGTTATCTGTGCATGAAGAAGAACGGACAGCTGGCAGCCATCAGCGATTTTGTGGGTGAGCACTCCTCACCGGGCCCAGGGCCCCCTCACTGCTGAGCTGGTCCCTCCTCCCTGCCCAGGTGGCCCTTGGCAGTAGTAATCCTTGCTGGTCAAGATGATCGCTCTGGACGTCAGGGAGAATTCAGAGCCCAGAACCCCTGATCTCCACTGCACATTTGGGGAACCTGGGGCTTAGCGGTAACAGGCCTCTTGCCGGGGTCACACGTGTCATGGCAATGGCAGATGTGGGCCCACAAGTGTCCAGGCCTAGAATCGGGGCCCTTCTGCCCTCAGACCCCACCCACCCTACCCACCCCGGGGAGGACGGCGGGCAGGCAACGGCCCCTCAGCCCCTACTCCCCTCCAGGTGAGGACGAGGAGTTCATTCTCAAGCTCATCAACCGGCCCATCCTCGTGCTGCGGGGCCTGGACGGCTTCGTCTGCCACCGCCGGGGCTCCAACCAGCTGGACACCAACCGCTCGGTCTACGACGTCTTCCACCTGAGCTTCCGCGACGGCGCCTACCAGATCCGAGGTGCGCGCGGGAGCCGGGGCCCGGCGGGGCGGGCGCGGGGCAGGGGGCGGGCGCGGGCCCCCGGCCCCCGCGCGCGCCCCGCCGACCCGGCCCCCGCCCCCAGGCCGCGGCGGCGGGTTCTGGTACACCGGCAGCCACGGCAGCGTGTACAGCGACGGCGAGCGCCCCGAGGACTTCCTCTTCGAGTTCCGCGAGCGCGGCCGCCTGGCCATCCGCGTCCGGGGCGGCAAGTACCTGCGCGGGGGCGCCTCGGGGCTGCTGCGCGCGGACGCGGACACGCCGGCCGGGGTCGCGCTCTGGGAGTACTGAGCGGGCGGCCCGACCCCCCCCATTAAACCGTGTCTCGGACGCAGCGGCTGGCGGACTCCGTGGCGCCGCGAGGGGAGGGTCGTGCGCGGACGGCCCGCCCCGCCCCCGCCAGGCCCCGGGGCTCCGGCCGCGGCTGCTCCACCTCCCCACCCCGCAGCGCAGGAGACGCAGGGCGGGCGCGTGTGGCTCGGAGTGGGGTCCAGCGGGTGGGACACCCCCGCCCCCGTCCCGGCAGAGTGCGGGGTTAGGCCGGTCACAGGTTCTTTGGGGTGACGATCCCCCCACGCGGATCCGGGTCTCAGGAAAAACCCAGCGCACGTGAGGTGAGAACGACCCCGCCCCTCCCAAACAGGGTGCGAGTGGCCAGCCCTGGGGAAAGGGCCCCTCTCGGCCCTGCACAGCCCCGACGGGGGCCCCCACGCCTCCCGTTCCCATCCCACCCGCCCCAGACAGGCCGGATGCCAAGACAAGGTCTCTGGTCCGGCAGCCAGGCACTCCCCACCCCCCAAGAACCCCCACCCAGGCCAATGCCTCTTGGATGGGTCGGGTGACCCGGTGGAAAACGCTGGGGTTGGGAGGGGACTACACACGCGTGGCCCAGAGCCTGAAGGGAGGATGAGACCAGATGCCCCGTCCCTGAGCCCAAGCCCCTCCTCATACCTGGGCCTGAAAGTCCATCCAGCGAATCCAGCCAGTGTGGGCCGTGGGGACTGGAGCGCTTTGGGAAAGGTGTGCGGGGGGGGGGGGGGGGACAGCATGGGTGGGCCTGACCAGAGTGGACAGGGAGGGATCCTGCCCCCACCCACAGCCTCTCCCCAGTGCCCGCCTCATCCCAGCCTGCACCAGACCTCACTGCCCTCGCCCAACCTTAAGGACAGAGGGGCTGGACCCTAGCGGGCCCCCTGGTCAAGGGGGGCTGAGTTAACCCTCTGAGGACCAGACACCAGAGCCTCGAGGCAGCAGAGGAGCAGGTGGCCGCGCACCCCACGGCCTGTGCTGCCCCCTGGCGACACCAGGACAGGAGGACGGGGGCTCCCCCGCCAGGTGCTTGCCCACAGTGATCACAGCGGGGGACTCCCTCGGTGTCCCCGACTTCCCTTCGCTGGCCTCTGCCAGGAATGCACTTGGCCTCAGACCCGTGCTGAGCAAAGCCCAAGCGGCCTGGGGAGGGGAGACAGGGAAGCGTGCCCGGAGGGTACACCTGGGACAAGGAGGAGGCTGGGACTGTGTGGAGGCCATTCTCCGGCGCGCCGGAGCTGTGTGGGGGACGGCGAGCCGCACGCAGCAGGGGCAGCTGAGGGACTCCGTGCTCGGGGCGGTGGCCCGTCCGGTGGGGTGCTGACAGGGCAGCCCAGCACGAGGCTCCTGGAGCGGCTCCAGCCGAGCTCTGTCCCGTGTCCCCCTTGCCCTCGCCCCTGCCCCTCTCCCCCAATTCACAAAGGTTTCACAGGATTCCACTTTATCTCCCGTCCACGGGTTGGCTGCCCGGCGGCGTGTCTCCTCTTCTGGAGACCAGGTGGTGGGGCTCGAGTGACTGCCGCCTCGCCCGCCCCACCAGGGGCCTCCTGCCAGCAGGCAGGGGGAGCAGCGCGCCCTTTCCCACTACTGCGTCTGCATCCCTGGGAGCGTGTAGGCTCATGCCTCACCGGGGTCATCCTGGTCAGCAGCCTGGCAGAGGTGACAAGTGTGCCTTGGGCGTCATGTGGGAGCTGGACAGTGGGGACCAGGGGCAGGGGCAGCCCAGCCAAGCCCTGGCGCTGGGGGACATGCTTCCAGCGCTGCTCTGTTCACAGCCGACATCTGTGCCCGCCGCCTCTAGCATGTGGTCTGTGTGGCCTCCCACTCTCCCTCCTTGGAGATGGCCTGTCCTCCCTGGGAGGGGCTCGCATGCCCTGCGGGCCGGGTGGGCCCTTCGCCCAGTGCCGGGGGACTCTCCCTGGCCCCCACGACCACGGAAAAGACCAAGGCAGGGTTCATCCGCGCACACCCCAGGGGAGGCCCAGAAATGCAGTCAGAGCTGCTGCCCCAAAACACACACACACACACACACACACACACACACAGTGACGAGGCAGCTCAATGGGGAGCAGACTTCTCCTGCAGCAAGGGGGGCCTCGCAGCCCCTGCATGTACAGGAGAGCACCATGTTAGGTCCAAACAGGGGGTCACCCCCCCCACTGCTGGACACACCAGCACTGGAGTGACGCTGAGTGGCTGCCCAGGCCAAGGGGCCCTGGAGACAAGGCACAGTGCTGGGCACGGCCCCAGCCATAAGCACCTACTGGGTGAGTGTCGGAGCCACAGAAAAGCAGTCCCAGCTGGTGGCCTCAGCAGTGGCCCATAAATGAAGGGCCCCGAGAGGGATGAGAGGTCTGTACTTGGGGGAGCGGGCACTGGGGACGGCAACAGCCATGGCCAGAACCACTAAGTCCCAAATCTGGAAACTTTCTCTGGGGCCCGTCAGCTGCTCTGGGGCCCGGACCCTGTGCCCGGGGCCTGACTTCTGGGTTGGGGGGGACGGACGTCGTGGATCCAGCTCCAGGGCTCCAGGCCAGGGACTGCCAGGCACGACCAGGTTCAGCAGGAGCCGTGGGCAGCTACCGAAGGGGAAGGAACGCTGTGCAGAGGCTGGGGCCGGGGTGGGCTGGGGGGCCACGAGCGCCGCTTCACACATGCCCCAGAGCAGGTGTGGGCCCCGGGTCCCCAGCAGTGCCCAGCCCACCTGCCTCCCCCAGCCTCACGGCCAGGGTCAGGAGCCGGGAAGCAGCCCCTCGTGTCCTGCACTTCTCTCCATAAAGCCACGAGGGTGCTGGGCTCGTGGCAGGGGCCCACCTGGGGTCACACCAGGAGGAGGCTGGGGCTGCGCAGCTGACCGTACACCTGCAGGAGTCTCTGGGCGGTGGCGTGGGGGCTGGCTTCGTCCTCCGTGCACAGCCGGTCCCGCAGGGTCTGCACCTCCCGCAGCAGGGTCTGCTGGTGGGGGCAGCAAGCTCAGACCCCCCCACCTCGCCACTGGGCACGGCCCCTCTGGGGGACAGCGGTTATGCACAAATCCTACTTGGTATGTGGCAGGTGACCCAGGAGCACAGGGGAAGCACAGCCAAGCCCCTCCCCAGGTGACAGGAAGGTCCTATTGCAGGTGGATGGGCGAAGGAGCAAGGCTGGAGACAAGGAGCCCACCCACCCTGCATTCCCCACCGTCCTTGCTGAGCTGGAGGCTGGCGGTTGGGAGCCGGAGGGGCCTCACCTCGTGGCTGCTGTGGGTCTGCTGGAGACACTGTACACGGAGGTCGGGCGGGCCAGGGATCCGGGCGGCCTGCTCCACAACCATCCTCTGGGGACAGAGGACAGGGAGGCTGGGGCCGGTGCCCGGGGCTCCAGGCGCCTGTCGTCCAACACCATGCCACCACCTCCAAGAGCCCCTCTGTGTCTTCCACTCCAGCCCTAGCTTGATGATGGAAGACTCGGAAGTCGTTCTCCTAAGTTCCTGTCACCCCCTCCCACCTCTTCCCTCATCCCCACGAGCTGCCTCCCACCACCCTGTCTCCCGTCCTTCATCGCAGGCCTGGTGCCCACTGCCTTCATGGGGGCCACCCAACCTGCCCCATCAGCACAGCCCCTCAGCACGGCCCCCTGTGGGGCTGCTGCTTGTCCTGCGTTCTGGGGGAAGCCCAGGGTTAGGCAGCGAGGCCCCCACCAGCCTCTGTGGCGGGCACTGCACACCCGGCAGGGTCCCCCAAACTCTGAGTGGCCAGAACACACACTGGTTCCCAGGGGCGCTCCCGTCACGGGGAGCAGGGCGTCAGCTGACAGGACCGGGGTCCGCAGCCCGCGTGAGGGTGCCTGTCAGGGACCACCCGCAGCCCTCCGTTAGGGGAATGCCTGCGGGAGCACTGCCCCAGCAGCTGACAGACTGTACTTAGACGTAGGGCCTTTACAGATGAGCTCATGTGGGGGGGACCCAGGTCTAGTAATAAGTGATCAGAACACAGGAGCCTCTGGGTGGTGGCGTGGGGACAGCTGTGCGGGAGTGCGGGAGAGAGGCCTCGGCCGCGGGCACTGGATTCCTGCTGTTTGGGTCTGGTCTGTGGCTGCCATGGCCACACCAGGACCCTCTTCCCCCAGCATCACCCTAACCATGTAGCCCCTGACCATCGTGCTCGGCCGGGTCTGTGAACAGCCTGATGGGCAGACCTCGGTCTAAGAGGCTCCCCTCTGAGCAGAGGGAACGGGAACCACTCTGGGGGCTGGGTGTCCCTGCTGGGCACCTGGCACTACATTCCTGAGCTGCGTGAGCCTCAGTGGGCCCATCAGAGCGCCACACAGGGGCAGCAGCGGGGGCCACAGGCTCCTGAGTGATGCCCGTCTGACGCAGCGGCACTCAGGTCCTCGCCAAGCCTAGACTGCGGCTTCTCCGGTTCTCAGGGTGCGGGGCGGGGCCGGGGAAGGTGCACTGGTGAGTTCCCAGCTGGGGGGACGGCTGCCATGGCAGACTCCTCTGGGGCCACCAAAGCCGCAGTCAGAGGGGCAGGAGGAGACGGCCAGCTGGCCCCAGAGCCTGGGCTCCACCGGGCCAAGGGACCAGGTGCCAGACTTCATTTGGACCGTGAGCACCTTCTCAGATCTGGGACTCACGGCCCCCAGAATGCAGTGCAGCTGCTGGCTCCCACACTAGACGGGGCCCCTTGTGGTGTCTGCGAGGGCAGAGACGTGGTGGCTCAGAGTGCAGGCGGCACAGCGCAGGACCCACGCCGGCACACGCAGCCCTGGCACACGCAGCCCCCGGGCCCACGCCGGCACACGCAGCCC